CATATTTCAACATCTCTTCAATATTAATTTCATTTTTTTGTGTAATTTTACTAAAGCTACGAAATCAGACATGAAATATTGGATATTCTTGAAATTTAATACGTTTCTTTACACTGATAATTGTTTTATAGAAATATAAAACTCGTTTTAAGATGCTGACTTTCTTCGATGTAAGTTTGTTTTCTACACACAGAACCCTTCCTACAAATGTGAATTTAGCCTGATACATAGATTTATCTTAGTTTTTACGCCTTCCAGTAAGTCTACAAGCTTACGACGCTAAATGTGAGTTTCAATACCAGTGGCGTGCATAGCAAAAATAGCTCATTGTGCAGGTTTGGGCTTAACAGTAACTAAACTGTGTGTTAGACGTTATAGTTATAGTATGGTCGCCAGTTGTCAAAATAAAAGGCTTTTACTTATACTTCTTAATGATATTGTGTTATTGTTGGGCTTAGGATTATTTTACAGTAGGTGTCTGTGACTTGTTGACGATAAATGAACAGCACTCACTTATTTTAAAAAGTATATGTATACATATATATATATATGTGTGGAACAAGTTAAACATGTGTATAACACATTTTTCAGACTATAGGGATAAATAGGCATATCATAAACCCTAGATATATAGTTCTCTTATTCTTGTTAAAAGTCCACTTAGGCCTATTCAGTTGCTTTAAAATTTCAGTTGACAAGCCGAACTATCTTCACTACTACTATCGCACTAGCATTCTGTGTGTTATTCACTTACAATTGTGGCGAGAGTTACAGTAAGCGTTTGGTCTTCTTTCTTCTAAATATCCTCTGTTCCTTTTGTCAAAGTGCACTCAGGCTGATTCAATTACTTTAGAATCACGCTTTGACGGAATAAATTCTTCTTCTTATCCCCTTTTCTACTGTTAGTTTTACTCTAACATATTAAACGTTAGGCCTGTCACTTCTACGGTAGTTAACTTCACGCCGAACTTTTCCTTACCCGTAACTTTACTCTCTTCTGCTATTGTCTGTCTGCTGTTTTCGCTTGTCTCACACTATTTATATCTTTATAAATTAATCGGCTGTTCTCCTTATAGAAATCTCTATATTCTCGACGTCAATGTATTTCACGCAACGCTCGATAGTTTCAACATCAAGGAATTATAAACAAAATTTCCTACAATCGTCTGTTTTTAACTCTTGTTATAACAAAACTAAACAATAATAAATTATTCACTCACAAAATAAATTAATTAATAATATCTAAACTAAACAGTCTTTTATATCATGACACTGTGAAATAGCGAATTCTGTTTTAATTTGGTTATGGTTTTGTATATCGTTCATTTATTATTCCTAGTATCGTTTAGTTTATCTATGAATTTTTAATTACTTGTGAACGTTAACATACCCTCTAGGTGCTGACGTTTAATTACTATGAGTAAATATACATGTATTATGAGTCTGACATCAGTTTCCTCTAGAGGTGACGTATAGATATCATTAATGTTGCACAAGAGTATGGAAATTATGATTATATGATTTATAATCTCGTGATCTAACAAGTGAATAAAAACCCTACATTGAGCTTCAACAAGTTAGTTCACGAGATATAGCAAAAGAGCATTATTGCTGATTATTACTCGATGTTGTTAGTGAGTTTGTAGTTTAAATACTAAATATTGTTATTTTGGAATTGGTATTAGTTTTCTTTCATCTGGTTCTTTTTTTTTCCTGCTTCTTTTATCTATTAAAATATTTATTAACCTGGGTTTATATATTGCACTGTTCATTAACGTTAGTTTTAAGTCCTGGCAAGGTATATATTACTTATTGTGTTTTGGTAAGTTATCATCTTTGTGCTTCAATAGTTTGAAAGTCACACATTGGATTTATGTGGTTGTCAAAGTATAATAAATTTGTTTTTTTTATTCAACCATGGTTGTAGCGGCGTATTACTTTAGACTGTTACAAAGCCAGACGTATTTTTAACTCTGTTCACTAAACAGAAACACTTTTTTAGGTCCATTAGTTTAGTGTGAAAACACTGATTTTCTTCCATGTTTTTTTTTCTTTACTTAGACAGAAAACCCTTTATACACCATGAGATTAGTCTGAGAACGCTGATTTCGTTCGTTATTCTGTTTTCTACACATTCCCCTTCTACAGCCGTGATTTAATGTGAAAGCATTGGTTTCCCTTAGTATTCAGTAATTTTCTTTTAACAGAAATCTTTTTCTAGAGCCATCACTTCAGTCTGCAAAATTTCCTTGGTATTCAGTCGGTTATCTACAATATGTAGACGGTATGCAATGTGACTAGAAATACATAATATAAACCTTATATTTAGAAATACTTTATGATCTATTGCATATGGTCAGTAATTATTCCAGTACAATCACGTGATACAATTAGAAAGAAATTTTACGGTTATGACGATATATAGATAGATATGCTTGTAAATATATATTATCTTTTCTTAACAATACTGAATGTTATCTTTTAACATCTTTTCACTCTAAATATTGTATAAATACACACACACACACATAATATTTCATTACCGTTGAATGAATAGTTTCAGTGTATTAATAATAAAAAATATAATATTATTTTAATCATAATTATTGTATAAGTACATTATATTTCGTAATATTTTATTGCTGTTGAAAACAGTTTCAACGTGTTAGTTAGTAGTAAGATAATGATGTTAATATTGTTCGAAATTTTTCAAGTTTATACATTTTTATGCTTAAATTTTTCCTTACTTTTCATGAGAGCTCTTAACTCTTAACCTTTAATATATTTTTGTTATAAATGTGTATTATAATTGTATAGTATTTAATTTGTGAGAAGTCCCAGATCTTGACTACCGAAAAGACCACAAGAGGCTACAATGTTTTTGTTTGCAGTTAATGGTTTGATTTGGTTTGAATTTCGCGCAAAGCGACACGAGGGCTATCTGCGCTAGCCATCTCTAATTTAGCAGTGAAAGACTAGAAGGAAGGCAGCTAGTCATCACTACCCACCACCAGCTTCTGGACTATTCCTTTATCAACGAATAGTGGGATTGACCGTAACATTATAATGCCCCCACGGCTGAAACGGCGAGCATGTTTGATGGTAAGGAGATTCGAACCCGCCACCCTCAGATTGCGACTCAAGCACCCTAGCCAGTTTGCAGTTAAGCAAAAAAGCTACATGATGGGCTATCAGTATTGTGCCCACCTCGAATCCCAGTTTTTAGGGTTATAAGCCTTCAGGTCATTGGGGTGGCTAAGATTACGATTTTTTTGTTCGCCAATATTGAACAATATTGTGTAGCTTTGTGCTTAATTACAAAAAACAAACAAAACAAAACATAAAATAACAACTTAAGCCAGGTTTGCACACGAAATGCTACTCTTCACGTGACCTCCATCTACCTGTCTCGAATGCTGAGGTAAGGGTAACCCCAGGCGTTTACCTGATTTCCTGGCAGAACAGACAGCTTTCTTATTCCTGGACGACACGCACTATTTCCACTACAAGAGACTAGGTTAACCAGAAATTGGTGATTAGGCCCCGGACATAGCAAGCGAGAAGCAAAGTTAAGATGTGTTTACCTGAGCACTTTTCAGATACAAACTGAACTGAAAGAAAATACAGAAAATTTCAGTGACATTTATATATTACCTAAGATAGTAAGAAACACATAGTACCATCCTTTACCACACTTCCTCCTCCTTTTACCTCCAGGCTGATCTAGCTCTTCCTAATTGTAAAACTACCATTAAAAACAAATCAAATTTGTCACTCAAAAAATTGCGTAATTCGTCTTCTCTGCAGAAAAACCACTTCCCCAACAATATTACAAATATTTTTTTGTTTGTTTGTTTGTAATTAAGCACAAAGCTACACAATAGGCTATCTGTTCTCTGCCCACAACGGGTATCGAAACACGGTTTCTAGCATTCTAAGTCCGTAGACATACCGCTGTGCCACCGGGGAGCTGTTACAAAGAATAAAATTCGGAATCACAACAAATCTGCCCTCTTTAGGAGGAGATATTATAGGTAGTACGAATGATAGAAAAATAATAATAATATATATGGAGATAACCTTTTACAATCAAAAACACACTTTACACATTAAAATACAAGCAACAACCCTATAATAAAGAATACAAAATAAAACCTTTAAATAATGAATGTTACACATGTGACAAAAATAAGTACTTTATCAATGAAAGTTACACATTAAAACTCTTTAGCAATATAATTAAAAAAAAACATTAGACCCCCGAGATAGCTATCTCATTGGAAAAAGACAGCTAACAATAATGATATTGCAACAAACGAAAAATACTCTTCAAAAATGATAATAACATAAAACTCAGCAATACAAAATATATCAACAAAATTCTTCATATGTATGAAAAAACAATTGCAAGTAATCTCTCATAGTTTCAACTAAACTATACCTTTTTAAGATCAAAGAAAACATACAAAGTAAAATACCAAGTTGACCCATTACAAAATCTAAACTAACAAATGAAAATAACAATAAACAACATAATATAATAGAATATAAAATAATAGAAAAACAAAATCATTCACATATTACAAAATCGCTTTAAACATTTCCTCAAAGTAATAACCCTTGAACAAAATAAGAAGATTAAACTTTCTTTACATGGAAACAGCATAAAAAATATTTACAGAAATGCATCATACAAGTGGAAAATACCCTTCATACAATAACACTCAAACACAAAAAATAATACTTATAACATAATCCTTCACTACCGCACAGTACTAATACACTGGCTATTTAACACAACCCCAGTATATTGAGGCATAAACTTATACATACAAATTAAAACCCTCTACACAAAATTATAAATAAACTGAAAATAATGTCTTCATAAATCATGTATTAATTAAAACTTTTCATATTAATCAGATTAATACACACACACACATATATATATGCACTATTTAGTAATTATAATTATAAAAAAGGAAAGTATCTGATTATTCATGGCAACATCAGAACCTCCGTCTCCAGATCATGAAGTAAGCTTGATGTCTTCACGACAGAATGCCAAGAAATGAATGTAAGCTAAACTATAGTACGGCTGTATAGCTTTACAAATGATATTGATATCAATCATTGCGACACACCATAATGTCTGGCTATACTACACATCATTTCAAGAATACATTTCACCACATTTTGTCTTTCTTTTCAACACCTCAGTAGAAAAAGGTACTTCAGTCTGATCATATTGTGAAGATTTAATCATCTCATGGTACGCCACACATATGGAGTCATCTCTAGTAAGTAAAGTGTCAGTCCAAGACACTTTCTACATGCTGTCATGGTCCTAGTCTGGAGTTGCCGACTCATCCTGTACCACATCAGATCCAGAGTTGGGAGTTGTTGAAACTTTAGCCACCGTTCACATTCAATACCCTACTGCAAGTCTAAGTGTGTGATTTGCAACACTAATAGAATTATCAACAACAGGCTAGTTGACAAAAACATACCCAGAGAGCTAAGATTTTTGTCTTAAGTGGGAAATGTTAGGATTCAAAATGAAGGGTGGAATGAAATCTGTTAGGTCCGAAAAACCCAATCAAAAATGTGGGTTAAAGCTATAATAGTCCTGGTTACGGCAGCACTCTGCCCTATAACGTCCTTCAGAAACAAGGTGTAAAACAGTGATCAGGCTCTGTATTTACAGGTTTATATTTGTTCACACTTAACCTGCCTGTAGAACATAATCCCTACTACATGGAGATTGCAGTGGTGCAGACATCATCGTGTCTTGACCTTGACTAAATCCCAGAACTGCACTCTATGAAGTCATCACTACTGTCATGATGGTCCACTATCCTGGATCCCCAACACATTCTCACTGTTACTATTATCTCACTTCTCTTTGCTATTTCTTTCAGCCACAAGTTAAGCACGAAAGAGAAGAACTACACCTTACAGCAAGGTGCTATTATTTCTCACATCCAACATTCCTGTACAGTCCACACTTGCATGCACTATAGCTGGTCTTGTGCTGAAAAATGTTATAATATCATTCAGAAAACTGGTTACTTTGAGGAGATTTCAACCTGAATAATTCAGAATATTTCATCCCAATAAAATACAACATAAGTTACACCAAGCTTATATTTGTTATGCCAGTTACATAGTTTAAGAGTTTACTTCCCACAACTAGTTTCATCACACTTATTTATATTTCAGTTCGACCAACCGAAATGATGCCAGCCAACACATGCTAATACAGGCCAAGCTGTATTGTGTTTTGCATGTGCGACATGAGTTCACCCATTATTTTTATCTCTTTACAACAAATCTATTACCTGCCGAATGTGAAAACTTAAATATTCTCACCACAGCATTAATGAAAGACTGTTTCTTCAAATAATACTTTACTGGCCACAATCTATTAGTTAACTTTATGACTCCTATATCATTCAGATCAAATTCTTGTATTCTTATTCAAAGGTTGCCCTCTGCTCATGTTATGTTGAAGAACATGAAAAACTTTCATATATGAATACCACACCTTCACATTAGTGATGTTTTTTTTTCAGATTCTAGTCCAGTCAGTGATTTTTTTTATTTTTTTTTGCTTAAACCTATTATAACGAAACAATTGTGTTGATAGATTTGACATAAAGCAGAATCAAGATCTTGATGCTCAAAAACATGTTCATTTCTTAGTATTTAATTTTAATAAGAAACATCATATATAAAACTTTATTCAATTACGTACCATTCATTTGATCCAGATTGGCAGATGAGATTTGATACAGCTTGAAAATTAGGTTTTCACCTGATCATCATGTAGTTTTCGAATACATTTTTGTCTATTTTGAGTTTTATTTGTTTATTTTTCACTACTCCGATATATTTGTGCATAATTCGAAAGCTTAATTTTTGATACTTCCAGGTTTCGTATTTTTTTTCTAATTTAATCCTGATTTAGAACAAATATAATAACTTCATAAGACTTTTGAATTACAAATTGTGTGGTTAAAACAAATTTTACTGTTCGACAGAACTTTTAGACTGGGAATTGAATAACGTGAATAATTATATAAAAATATGATAATTTGCTTAAGCGATTATTTATTTTTTATCCAATCATGTTATAATTTTTATTTGTTCCTTATTTTATTTCTTCTTAGATCATTTTTTAGGAAGTGATTTGTTATAAGTACTTTTGTTCTCTTGATACTATACATTTAACAATATCAAATATCTTTGTTTATACTCACGTTAGCCAGAAAATATCTTTAAAAACATTGCTTATGATTCAATTCGAGTCAGTTGTTATGTTATCTTTCCCTAGGTTGCTGTTTTTAAAGGAGTCTTTAGTCATTATGAAGTACTTAAATTTTATCGGTGAGTATCGTTCTTCAGTCTCGAAAAATTAAAATGCAAACATTTAAGATTTAACTAAAAATAATTTCATTTACTTGAGATCTATTACTTAATAGTCATAGTAGTTTGTAAGTAAATATTTTTCTGACATCTCCATTTACACCTGATTATCAATTTCATAGTGTCAGTGTTTTGTGAATAGACAGTTTTCTAATGTATTCATATCCATTTCAGTTGTTCTGTGTGTGCTTGCTGCTAGTTTCTTATCTCAGGTAAGTTCGTACTTCCAAACTTATTTTTTGTTAGACATTTACACAACAATATCTTAAGTTGTGTCACTAAATTATATTAAATTATATATATTATATAAAAGGTTTATTTTATAAGATTTAATAATCTCAACAAAAGGGTGTTTGGTTTTGCCGTTATTTTTATTATTATTAATCGAGTATTTATTGAACATTGTTACAATAAAACTAATGTTTAGCTAAAACGCCTCTCATATTTTAGGCTGAAAGAACAACCTTTGAACTCCCAGAACAAGCAAAGATTATTGTGGGATCAATCAACACTGACTTTTCATGTGATGGTCGTCATTCAGGCTATTACGCTGATACCGACAACAACTGTCAGGTTTTCCATATTTGTTACTCACGGACTTTAGCTGATGGAACTCAGCTGGCTGAACGCCAGAGTTTTGTCTGTGGCAACCAGACTATCTTCAACCAATTAAGTTTGACCTGTGCATTCCCTGCTGATGCTGTGCCTTGTACTGACGCCTCTGATTTTTATTATATTAATGAAAACATCGGAGTTAAGGATGCTCCTTTCTCTACAGATGACGACATCACCAAGGGTGCTAAAGTAATCAATACGCAGTAAAACATGTTCATTGGACTTCTTGACTTCATTACTTGTTATACTCTAATCTAATTATATGCTAGAGCACATTGATATCGCTTAAAAAACGGGAGTAGAACAAAATATGATTATTACTATTACCCTATGCTTCATATTTTCTTATACCTTTTTAATGTCTTGTGTACATACGTGACTTGTGTGATAAATTAGATTTATATTACTAAATGTGTTTTATCTCAAACTTTGTTCATATTTTTATGTTGTTCACAAACGCCTATATAAATATTTTACAATTTAAGAAGTGGTAATTTATAAGATCCATCTCAACTTGGACAGGCACATGCACACAAATGGAAGTATTTATAGTTAATTATCAGAGCCTCATGGAGCAATTTAAAACTCATCAAAATGCCCCTAGAGATATAATAACAAAATATAAAAATCACAAGCTTTCATACTTTTGGGTAAATATGTTATTGCAGTACTTTCCTTTGTAAATTGGACTAAAGTTGTAATAGAACAGAATTAATCTCCTGAGCTTGGCCTAGTGGTTAGCGTATTGTTCTGGGTATACGTGAATCTCAGGTTCGAGACGTTGCATTACCAAACTCTCTTTGTACTTTCAGTTGTGGATTCTTGATAAAAGTTACAATTAATCGAAATCACCTTAAAAGTAGCTGTTTTGCCAGCAGGTCAACTTCCAATTCAAAAATAGGGACAACTAATACTAAATAATAAGAGTCCCTGACCTTGCTACTTAGCCCATTGTGTATACAAGGTATTGTTTAGATTTAACAAACAAAACTAGTCCTTACATTATTATTCTTTATTGGAAGAGCACGTAAAAACACAGGAAGAAAATTGCAAAAGAAAACTCCATTAAAACAACTTGAAATTATTGAAAAGTAGCTTGAAATATTTTAATTATTCGATTAAACAGAAATAATGATAGTTTAAACATTGGATAAAATTATTAATGTTTATTATTTTTTGAGAAAAATATGGTAATTATGTAAACACACCAGATAATGATAACAGATTTATACAGAAGCGATATTGTGATACTTTTGCCAAGGCAAAGGGGAAAAGTGGACCTGATACAATTTGAAAAGTCGCTTTATTTAGTAGATTATTAAATACACATAGTTAACACTTAAGAGTTTTCTTCTAGGAGATTGTGGGGGGATCGAATTTACGTTTTCACGAACATTTTTTTGAACTAATAACCGTCACTTAAATGTTTAAAACCTTAATTAACTGATAATCTAGTTTTGTACTTCATTAACTAAGCTGTATTGCTTTTTATCCTAATGTTCTAAGACCAAATCCCTTATGATTCATATTCAAGATAATAATTTAAGATAAATAAAAAAACAGCTCAATCAAGCATGTTTCATTACAAATCGCTAATGAACTCTTATAACTAAGCGTTATCTACAAAATTATAGTATTATTAACCACTGAAGGCTAACTTAAAAGACAGATTTACAGAAAAATGCAAGAACATCTACCTAAGATCACAGGACTTACTTCCTTCAGACTCGGGCTAAGATGAAAATTTGTAGTGCAGTATACAGACTTTTATAGTGGACACTGGCTAGATTTCTTGACCTTAAAGTGTATTTAGATAATCAGGTAAACTGTGTTAGTGGGGAATGTCCAAGAAATTGAACCAAGCTTAAATCGGTCAGTCACCCAGTTTTCTCTCTCTTTCTCATTAGGTGTTTACTTGGACTGTTTCCGTTTTCCAAAGTGATTATGTTTTATGTTGAATATATTCAGATATTGGAAATGTGTTGTTTAATGTCAACAAAGAAAGGTTGAACAAGGAACAAGAAAGGATATTCCTCATAGGAAAGAGATAAAATATATTACAGTAAAAATAAAATCATTTTTAAATTAACTTGTTATGCTTAGTCGACTGTAGTAGCGTCAGCATAAAGCTAAGTTATAAACAGTCGGTTCATCTAATGTAAATCTTCTTTTGTTAAATAACGTTTGAAATATCAAGAATTAGAATTTAATAGCAAAAGATTAGTCTATAGCCAATTCATATGCTTTGTTGCAAAATTGAATATTTTGTTGATTTAGAACTTAGTTGTACTAGCCATTTGATTTAGTTCAGACTTGTTTCTGTTTATTATCAAAGTTTCTTTAATCCTCAGTTCGTTTTCATAACTGGCTCTCCAAACGACCTTGAACTGTTCATTAGCCACCACTTGATGACAGATTGTAAGCGCATGTTACATAAGATGGACATTTCTTTGTTTCTAGCATTCGAATGCTCTTTTATACATTCGTAGAGACATCAAACTGTAGAACCGATATAACAGCTTCCACACTTATTGATAGATTACGTCATTAGAGCATTGGGCATCACGATCTGTTCTTTGAAAAAAAAAAAGTCCAGTACTCTTCTTGAGAGTTTAAAAATACATATCGGTTTAATTTATGGGTAAACTGTTTCTTTATTATCAGGCCATGAAAGATAAAAACAACACGAACTTCTTTTTAGGTACAACTGAGGGAATGGCGAACTTTAGTAAAAAATATTTTCTTTAGGTTTTTTATAAAGGAAAAAAAATCCGAATGTAATTTTGAAAACGTTTAAAAATATTTTTATATAAACGTGAACTATGGAAAGATTCAAGATTCTATGTTATTATATTTTACTGAACGTTAAAGTATACGTTTTCGGAAGTCTTTCAGTAAACGCTAAAGTGTTTTATTGACGTATTTCTTTCAAGGCTGTGTAGTGATTCACTTCAGAAGGAATTTGGAAGTAAAGCAGCAGAATTTCAGAAATATTGTTACCGGTTAAAGAAACAACATTATCGGTTAAAGAAACAACACTATTCAAGTTTTCAAATTAATAAATTGTTTTTAAAACATTTCCAAACTAAAAGTAATTATGTCATCTTTGAAATAAAATTCATGGGAAAATATATCTCAAGGTGTTCAAAATGACTTTATATGACTCAAGTGCTGATTCCGACTGAGAAGTGAACTGATAATCGCAGTTAACGGCATATAACCACGTGGTCAGGAACTAGGAAACTCTCAGAAGAAACACTGTCACTGGTTAGTTCTTCAAATATACTTATGTTGATAGTTTGTAATTACGGAATAGGGTTTTATTATAGCTTATACTTCAATTTATGTTTAGTTTCGGTCTTTGGAATCAACCTTAAAGTGAACTGGAATAATATAAAGCCTTAAATATTGTTATTGATGAATTAGTGAGATGGAAGGAACAACTATGAGATAACAATATACGAATATCAAAGTGTGTCCATCAAATTAGTCTTTCTATGAACCTTGTTTGAGTAATCAATATCTATAAATAAGTCCCTCATCCTTATTCTCGTGACGCACATTTATCTTTGTATTTGAAATTTTTAAGAATAACGCCTGAAAACGATGTAAAACGTGAAAATGCTTCTCTCATCTTCAAAGAACGTTTTTTTTTGTTTTTGTTTTTTGAAGAAAAATAAAATTAATGTAATTTCTAATTTTCCTTTGCATTTTTTCAACTGTAGTAATAATTATGTTAACAACAACAATTGCAAAGGTTTGCTATTTTAATTACTTTTATAAAGCTGACCATAGTTTTAGATTACAATATTTACATTTCAAATCATATGTGAAATTTATTCGATGTCGATATGACATCTAATTGTTTAAAAATCACTTTCACGTTTAATAATATATTTCCAGAAACTTCAACTCTACAGAGATTCTGAAATTATATTTGTAGCTTACGAAATGAAAGAGTCGCTTCAAAAACATTTTAAGACCTGAATAACGATGTATAAGAGATAGACGTTTTGTTGTTAAATCCGTTACTGATAACATCATATAAATAATTTTACTTCCAACACGAAATATTATTTTAGATTTTTCAATTAACTATCGAAACTTCAATTATTTTTCTCAAACTAAAATAACACAAGTTAAGGAAAAATCCTTACTATATATATATTAAACACAGAAGGAAATTAGAGTATTTAGGATTAATTTATTGACATTTTATGCTGATAAACGGTTATTGAACTTTTGTTTCTGTTTTATATAGATGGTACTCAACTTATTGAAAGTTTGTTACTGTTTTATTCTAATGACGCTGCATTAGTGAAATTTTGTTACTGTTTTCAACTGGTGATGCAGTTCTTTTTACAGCAAGTTTATATAAAATTGAAAGTGTCAGTTTTATCCAAAGTTGTAAAATTCAATGTTTCATTGACAATAACTATGTCTAAATCTCAGTTAATAATGTAAGTTCTTCGTAGTGAAACAAGAAGGAAAAAACTAGAAAACTCGGTAAATTATAATTATTAGTGTTAATGCAATTAGTGTATCAACCTATATTATAGAATTTTTAACCTGCATTTTTAACTAAGTGAATGTTTAAGTTCAAATAAAAACAAGACAACACTTTGTGGTCTGAGTTACTTACAATCCATAAATATTCCCTCTATTTGTTGAAGGATTTGTTTCTGAAATTATACAAAAAAGTCATTCGGATTAATTTTAGTACGTTCTTGAAAACTAGGGCATTTGCAGCTGAAACGAAAGAATTCCAGTTGGTAACGTATGAAGATCAGGATGTTCATGGTGAATGACAAGTCCTGTTCAGGATCTAGATCTCCAGCAACTACTTTCCTTGACACTATTCCAGTGAGTTTTCAAGTTTCAGAAAGTGGACAGAGTGGAAGCTTTCTGACAGTATGCCTTGGTCAGTGAACTGGAAACGATGAGCGACCTATTTCTAAATCTGTCTAAGAAACGAAGGGTTTGAAAGTTATTCTCTCTGGTTTTAATTCATGTATATACCTACATTACAACTGAAATACAAAAAAAGCTTTTACATTGGTAGTTAGTATTTTCAACGTAATGGACAACTTCGTTAAACGACACATATGCTAAGCAGCCAACTCAAGGTTAAAGATCACAGGGTTCAGGATTTAGCCGTCCCTAACTTAGCCTACTGACGGAAAGAAGGGCAATTAGTCAGCTGCACC